TCCGCTGATCCATTCAGATTTTTTATCGCTCGACTCGGACTCGACTCGCCGCACGCACGCGGGTTCCTCCGCATCGCGACGCAATCTTTCCCTTTTCTTCACGCAATGCGGCCGCACTTTACAACGCAGGCGGAAATGATAAATCTGCGCGCAACACGCGCCACTCACTTTGTCCCGTACGCACGTACCGCAAAAATTGGATGGCGCGCCGTCACGCGAGCGCGATGGCGCACGCGATTTACGTTGGCTGCCGGCCAACGCGTTGCTTAACCGTTCGATTAGCGCAACGTCGATTGATCCGCGAGATCGTCGAGTGCATCAAGGGATTTGTCCTCGTCGTAATTGTGTCAGTAGCGAAATGAACGCTCGCGCTCAATATGTCACGCGACGGTCGGCGGCTTTTTGTGCTTTTATCTCTCCTTTTATTAGCTTACTTACTTCTTATTATTATTAGGTGTACAAATGAATAATTCAAATTTTTCAGTTAAATTCAAGGTTTATTTTAAAAGAAAGTAAAATAAATTTGTCAAATAAATTGTTTCCTATAACTTTAAGCCATCTTTCAGGCAGCTGATAAATTCCATGTCGGAAAAATGTTGTGTCTTTGTGACATGATAAAATCGTCAAGCCATTTTCGGATCTCATTCACTGATTTGAAATTCATATCGGAGAAGGCTTGTTGCCTTCTTCGATCGAAACAAATGGTAATCGGTAGGAGCGATGTCTGGTGAATTCGCTGGGTGCTGCAAGACGTCCCAGCCAAGACTCACTCTGATGTCTTTTGTCGTAGAAGCAATATGTGACTTAGCGTTATCATGCAACAATTTCATTGGACGTTCTCCTTTGCCACTATATGGACGTTTTCGTTCTAATTCTTGACTCAAACGGATTAATTGGTGTTGGTACCGGTCCGCAATAATTGTTTCATTCGGCTTTAATAGCTCATAATAAATCACGCCCTTCATATCCCATCAAATGCAGAGCAGAATCTTCTTTTCAAAGTATTTTGACTTAGCGACCGATATTTCGCCGGGATTTATCCATAACTTTTTGCGTTTCGGATTGTCACAGAGTATCCATTTTTCATCGCCCGTAATAATCTTCCACAAGAGACTTTCTACGCTTATTGAGAAGAAAAAGACACGCTGCTACTCGTTGATTTTTGTTGGCTTCAATGAGTTCATGCGAAATCCATTTTCCTTCTTTCTGAATCTTCCCCGTCTCATGTAGGCGTTTGAGAATAGTTTGTTGCGTTACTCCTAACTGCTCTGCAAGCTCTTTTCGAGTTTGTGCTGAATTCTCAGCGAGCAGTTGCTCCAAATCATTGTTGCCATACTTTCGAGGGCCTCCAGGACGTTTTTTGTCACTTAGACTGAAATCGCAGCTTTTAAACCGTCTAAACTAAAATGCACACACATCGTACGATACAACACCTTCGCCGAGGAAAGAACAAATCAATTCGCACGCTCTTGCAGCATTTTTTCCTTGTTGGAATTCGTAAAGAATGCAGTGTCGGATATGCACCTTATCTGTTGTCATTTTTGATTGTACTGAATTAAATAATTTTTGAGATCATGTTGAGCTTTCCGTCATACTAAATGTAACTTTCAATAGCTATATGTCAACACTATATAACCGTAAAAGAGCGGGAAAATTTGATTACTTGGAACTAAATTTCTTAGCCGCTGAAATAAATTTGGATTATTCATTTTTACACCTAACACTTTCTTTTTTTTATTAATCGAAGCAACGTTTCCGAGAATTAACATGTCGTGCATTGAAGTCACGAGTGCTGGGTGATTGAAAAACTCGTTAGATCTCGGCCATTTTTATCGATGTGGCATGCAGTAATCTCAATAATAATACAGCAAGCAGAGATAATTGTCGCTTCGAATCGGGTGTCAACGGGTGTTTTTTTTTCCACAGCTCTCAGCCGAAAGTTTTCTTCGAGTGTTCAGCCTCGTCCGTGCTTACCTCACCGTTGCGCGCGGCATGCACGAGAGCATATCGTTTTTCCCTTAGTTGGGCAAATAACCGTTAAGAGGGATCGTTTGTGATAACGCGTACGAAACACACGGAATCGCGCTATTACGCGGGCAAGATTAAAATTTGAATTGTTACGAGTACAAATTTCTACGGCGCGGCGCGCACGCGCACGTCGCAAGTGGCCGGATATTTCTAAACGGTAATATCGCACTTTATGGCGCTGATGCAGATTATCGTGCGCGCTGTTATTAAACGATGCCGTATTCGCGTGCAGCGTCCATGTTAATCCGGTAATAGAAAGTACAATAGCGTACGACGTGTCGACGAGCTCCTCGCAATTTACGCACTAATTTTGTGAAATAAGGCGGAGAGCTCGCGGTATTACAGTTTCGATGTGGATTGTTTTCACTGGCCGGGCTGCGTCATTTCGCGAATTACCGCTGCGTCGTAACACGCCGTGCTTCAATTTATTACGGACTTCTTCATTAGCGCGAAAATAATATCCTGCTTCGGGCTACACGGGATTCAACGTCCGAGTGGAACTACCTTCGGTGCAGACAGCTGACAGGGATTAATCGGCGCTTTCCGGCGCTGACGACAGGGGGTAGTTGTCGAAAGGCAAGGTTAACCCTTTACATCCCGACGCTACTTAAAAGTAAAACCGCTCCACATAAACGCTCATATGTTTCTGAACCTTTTTCTTTCCGTATCTTACCCTATACGCAAAAAACTGTTCAGTTAATATAAATGAATTTCAGTCATGACAAGTGAAACTTTTGGTCCCTCAGGAATCAACTGAAAATTCGGTTGCAACAGCAGAAAAATTCAGGTGGAAGATTTCTGTTGTTCTAAAAATATATTCGGCACCTCAGCCGAACGTTAAGTTGCCAAGAATACAAGTTTCATTCGTCACAACCTATAGTTCAATTTATGTTGTCGGATATTTAAGTTATTGGAAACAGGTTCTGTCATCTTTGCAATTAATGTTGCGCAAACTAAAAAATTTGCTAATGTAGTGTAGTGTTTTCAGTTTTTGGCAAACATATTATTATAGTTAATGTATCTTTTTTGGCGCAATAATGTAGATGATGATATAAATATTCATATCTTGCAGATAGTTTTGCATTTTTCACTGCATCCGCTTGACGACTGTCTTCACATGGATAAAACAAAGCATCTCTGTATACGTAAGTGAAAGGGAAAAACGCACACATTCAAGCGCACAGATTCAAGATCGCATCGTTGGCAACGTTACTCAACTTTTTCAAACAGAAAATCTTTTTGGTCGCGATAACTGAGAGATTTTGTTTCTCATTGTATGTACGATATAGTTCCACGCCTTCTATAAGAGTAGCCGAATATTCTGCTATGGTCATTATATTTTTGCCTACCGAAAATTTTTGTTTCTTCAATCGAAAGCAATGTTGATATGAATGGTTCTTCGGTTTTTCGGACGAAACAGAATTTTCTCTTACTGCAACTAAACTTTATATAACAAAAAATTTCTAGTTGTTGCAACAGAATATTTTTCTACATGTAGGAAAAGAAAACTCGCAGAAAACATTCGCGCGATCGGGCTTAAAATCGCACTATTGGCAGCGTCATTCAACTTCGTCAAACGAATCCTTTCCGTTAATGTAATTGAAATTTCCTTTCTCTTTAGATGTATGGTGTAGTTCCACGTCTTCACATGAGAGTAGCCAAGCACTCTGCTGCGGCAACTACATTCTCGAGACTGAAAATATCAGTTTTTTGCAATCGAGAGCAGTTGACGCGAATGGTTCTCCGCTTTGCAGAACAGATTTTTTTGTTACTGCAACCGAACTTCACGTAGCAGAAAATTTCTAGCTATCACTATAAAATATTTTTCTGCGTGCACACATAATTTGTAAAGTATAAATTTTAGTAAATTGAAAGTATATATGGAGGGTGAGTCGTTTCAATCTTAACAGGTAAATATTTCGAAAATGTGCGATTTTACAAAAAAATGTTTCGAATAAAAGTTGTATGGTACCTGGTATAATGGTGCCCTTATTTTGATCTCGAAACATGTATTTAAGGTCAGATGAAAGTCAATTTAATTTTTTTAAGCGAAAACCCCAATTTTTTATTATATCTTCTTTTCCTACCAATTAATTTAAATAACTTTTATCTAAAACATTTTTTTATTTGCCTAATATTTTTTTAGATATTTAAGGAAAACTTGGTAACTTTTTCAATATTTAACTTACGATATCTCGCTAACTATTTGTTGGAAAAAAAAATAGTACTAGACTTTTTTAGTCTATTTGATCTCAAGAATATATTGTTACAATAATGCTCTAACTTTTGTTAACTTATCAACTTTTGGAAATTTCAAAATTATCAACATTTATTTGAAACATTTTTTTGTAAAATTGCACATTTTCGAAATATTTGCCTGTTAAAATTAAAAAGACTCACCCTGTATATATAACGTCGAGATGGTAAATTATTTTCAAGTCGCAGCCGGGTTCAAAATCGCATCATTGGTGACATTATTTAACTTCATCTAACGAAATGTTTTCTATTGCGGTAACCAGGAGATTTTGTTTCTCTTGACATACATAGTTCCGAGCCTTCTGTAAGAGTAGCCGAATGTGGTCATTATATTTTCGCGACCAAAAATTTGTGTTTCTTCAATCGAAAGCAATTGTTAATATGAATGGTGAAACCCTCCCCTTTGTGAAACAGATTTTTCTGCAACCGAACTTTACGTAATAGAAAATTTCTAGTTGTCGCAACAAAATATTTTTCTGCATGTCCGGTACTCATAAGTGTCACCTTGAAATTGAATCATTGTTAAACGATTAGAAATCGTTCTAAGATTTATTTTCCTATATTTGTTAATTATCATTTATTGATTCAGGGTATAAAGGGTTAAACAAGATATTAAAATTCTCTCGCGCCAAGCGAACTTGTAAACAAGCGATAACGATATTTTCTACGAGAAATCAATCGCGAATGTTGCAATAATGCTTTTTATAGAATGTAGAAAGCGATAATAAACCAATCTTCTTGAATTATCTTGAATTATGCGCGACATTGTCTTAATCGGTCGTTCGATCTATTCGAACGTAGATAAATAATGAAATGAGGACAATAAAAATACTTCAAGTGATTGTAAGACCGTCTGGCGTATATTCCGGATAAAATAAGCAGTTCCTCCGCGCGTATTTCTTCTCTGCAAAAACTCGGTGGTTATAACGGATTTGTGATTACACACGCAGCTCATTAGACATTCTTCGGAAAACATGTTTCCGTCGGACGGAAACGTTGGGCGGCGCGGCGCAGGAGAAACTCGGGTCGGATTAAGACGAAAGTCAAATGAAGCCTTCTCCGACTTACACATCGCCGTGCATTAACACAATTAAAATTAATGAAACGCAAATATGAGACGTTGCGCTCACGGGGCCGCCCGCGGAGGATCTCGTGATGAAACGAATAATCTCGTCTAACAGGCGACGCTTCGTCTCCGCACTCGTCGGCTCGTCCTCGTCGCCCTTCAGCATCCTCTCGAAGCCCGGATCGTGAACGCAGCGTCCCGCCGTCGGACTGTACGCGTAACCGAGCTGACATATGCAAGCGAAACCGCCGGCCAGGTTGAGGCAGTTCTCACCCGCGTGCAGCGTGCAATTGTGCGCGCCACGGGAGCATTCGTTCACATCGACGCACAGGCCGAACCTGGAGGACCACTCGTAGCCGGGCCGCTGGCATTCGCAGCTCACGTTTATCCGATTCGACCTGAGCGCCTGGAAGTTGCGGTTCTCGTCGCGATGCAGCGAGCACCTCCGATGCGCTGCGGACAAAGTAGGGCCACGTGTCAGACAAGAAATTACCTTAGGCGAACGCTACGAGAAACATATGTTTATGATTCCGCGAAGTTTCGCGAATTGTTTTGCTCCAGGCATATCTTGTTCGCATAAATAATTAATACGTTTAATCGAGGATATAACTCACATAATTGTTTGATTGCGATTTACGCGCGTCGAGCTGAACCGAACGCGACGTCATCACCGTCGCGCGGCCGTGAAGTCGCGGACTTGATGAGTGATTAGCTCTCGCTTGTCGCGTACCCGCTTTATCGCGCGGCAGGGGCCGATTGTTATTCATTTTGCGCGCGAGTGTCGACGAGCGAGTACATACGAGCGGTGTCTAAAAAAAAGTATGCGCTAGGAATATGCGTCGCGCATCGTGCCTGCGTTTTTATCGATGCTGCAATAAAGCGGCGGCGGCGGCGCGAAAATTAACTCAGTCACACTGCGATGTATGAATATTGGGTTGTTCGGAAAGTAATTTCGGTTCTTTCAAATAGATGGTGTGGCTTGTCTTTTCAAGCAGTTAACCTCATTCTAAACCGGAAAATCATTTTGCATTTTTACAACGCACTTTCAAACTTCATTTGAAAATTGTTTTGGAATCTGTCAAGTTGTTTTTGTTTGTCACATCAAAAGTGGAAAACCAACGTGAACATTTTCGTCACATTTTGCTTTTTATTACATAAAGGTATGGAAAGGATGTGTTTACGGAACTCTAATGTCAGAATTAGTTTTCGAAATTTCGTTCTGGAAATTTCAACCTCTAAGATGGATCACGTTCTGAAAGGTCAGTTGAGGCTGATGAAGACCAAATAAAGGCATTGGTGGACGTAAATCGTTATGTAACAACACGAGAAATTGCTGAGAGGTGGAAGGTTATCGACTTCAACCGTGCATGAGCATTTGAAACAACTTGGTTTCGTTTCAAAGATATTTGGGTTCCATACGTTCTCAAAGAAAGAGATTTGATTCATCGCATTACCATCTGCGATTTGCTGTTGAAACGAGGAAAACGATCCATTTCTGAAGCGATTCATAACTGGAGACGAAAAAATGGATTATGTACAACAATATTAAACGCAAAAGATCAGACGTGATGAACCAGCTCAAAATATATCGAAAGCTGATATTCATCAAGAGAAAGTGTTCAGATATTTATCAAAAGAACTGTTTAGTAGGATTGCACTGCGAAAAAAATTGTATTAAAATTAAACACATATTTATTCGAATACGACTGTGAATACATTTATTTAAATTAAGCAATTATTTTCTAAAATTCAAGAAAAAAATTTATATTCAGAACCTCTGTATTTCATTTTAAAAATTAGTCGCTTAATTTGAATAAATGTATTCACAGTTGTATTCGAACAAATATTTATTTAATTTTGATACAATTTTTTCTCAGTGTGGAAAGGAATGGTTTTCTTGAGCTGCCAAACAACTAAATTATTGATTCGTATGTTTATTGTCATCAATTGGACAAATTGAATGATTCCATCATGCAGAAGAGACTAGAATTGGCGAACAGAAAAAGTATTGTATTTCATTATGACAACGCCAGACCTCACACAAGTTTAATGACTCGTCAGAAACTGTTAGGGTCTGGATAGGATTTGCTACCGCATCCATCATATTCACTTGATTTGGCATCATCCGATTATCATTTGTTTCGGTCACTGCAAAATTCTTTGGATGGTAAAAATTTCGATTCAAATGAAGGTGTCAAAAACCACTTAATCCAGTTTTTTGCCAGTAAGGACCAGAACTTCTACGAGCGTGGAATTACCTCAAAGATGGCAAAAGATGTTAGAACAAAAGAACAATATTTAACAGAATAAAACTTTTCTTTCTGTTAAAAATATCATCTTTCATTTTCATGCAAACAACCGAAATTACTTTCCGAACAACCCAATACAATTCGTACACATATAGGCCGTTGAGAAAATTGCTAATCCTACATGCTGAATTTATTTGTATTAAGAATTTAGATTACTAAACATTTTATCTGAGATTAAGGGGGTATCATACTCTGGAGACCCGAAAATGAGGGTCAATTTCAGGATTTTTTTGTGATAAAGTGGTAGGCCAATCAGGTTCATGACATATACGATATTTAAGTATATGCTTAGGTGCATTTATTGTATTTTTTATATAAGGAAATATTGAGAAATATAAAAGTTATATGTAATTTCGCAGAAGCCGTTCGCGCGCGCGCGCTCGACTACGGTGTACATAGTGCCTCCTGTACGGCGTGCCTGAAAGCAAAAATACAAAAAGAATATTAAACTAGAATATATGCCCTACAAGTTGACGAAGGAAAATTGCAAGAAAGTTAAAAATTGTGAAAGTTATAGCACTTCGAAGAAAAGGTTCATTTTTTACCGAAAAAAAAACGACGGTTTTTTTATTGTTATTAATACATGGTTCACCGGAGACAAAAAAACTCTACGTCAACTTGAGCATTGTGTTGTTATATTGATGTAAACAAAGAGGTAAGACAGCCGGAATAAAAGTACGTTCGGAATCGTGTACACCGTTTCCGAAAAAGTCGTTTCGAGATAAACGCGTTTAAAGTTTCGGTGACTGTTTTCTACGAGATACAGTGATAATTATTTCATCTTACCATTATTCTGTTGCTGTTCCTGCACCATATTACAGCTCTTCTGCATCAGCTAAAATGTCCTCTGCAGCCAATCTTTCAAGCCTACGAGCTGATCGTGCCTCTCGCGTGCTTTCCCGCGCTCGATGGTCGGCAGCTTCGACGCGCTGTTCATCAGCATACACGCACCACTGATGTGCTTTGTCGCCAATTTTCAGATGCAACACTTGCATAATATTCAGATATGCCATTGCTCCCTCGTTGAATGAGCTGTATATTTGCTGCTATTTGGACGACCTCAGCACCCTCGGAGGATATTTTTGGCGCGATTTTCCATATGACGGAGTTTACACTTTCATTACTATTTTGATTGTAGCCTCCCAGGCACCGCGTTAGTAAATCGTTCGTACTGAGTGCTTCATATACTGGTGAAATTGCATCTCGAACATCTTGAGAAAGCGGTGGCTTGTGACGATATTCCTTTAATTTTCGCTGATGTACTTGTACTGGCTATCTCCTGCTCCTTCGCAGATGGATTCAAAGGACGCATCCTTTTTTTCTGTCTAGGTCTTCCTCCAGTATCTCTAGAACCTTTCTGACTTGCACTTGCTCGTCTCTTCAGCATTTTACTTTCGTTAGACTCACGCGATGTACACAGTCTGTCCTAGATCAAATGAGACTGGTCTAAAAAAAATACAAAGCGTTTATTATTTTGATTTTTTATTCTTGTTTATTCAAAATAGTCTCCTTCTGAGTCAATACAGCGCTGGAAACGTTCAACAAATTTTTCGAAACATCTTTTATACTCATCGGCTGGAATGGCCCTTAGTATGGCGGTCGAGTCTTTTGGATGACCGGGATGGTATCGAAACGATTTCCTTTCATCGCCAATTTCAGTTTGGGAAATAGCCAGAAGTCGCACGGAGTCAAATCATTTGAATACGGTGGATGATCGATAACAATGATGCCTTTTTTGGTCAAGAATTCGCGTACCATGATGGCTTTGTGCGATGGTGCATTATCGTGCAACAAAAACCAACTGCCTGGCTCTCGATATTCCGGTCGAACTCGTCGAATTCTGGCCCACAATCGTTGTAGAACTCCCAGATAATATCTGGGCAGACACACAGCGGTCGCTTCGAAGAATTTCTTTGACTTTCTCGATGTTTTCTTCATTGCGAGTGGTTTTTGGCGGCGGTGCTCGGTAATCGTCTGCAAGGTCCTCACGACCGTCACGGAATCGGCCAAACCAACGGAAAACCTGTGCACGGGACATGCATTCATCCCCGTACACATTTTTTAGCGTTTCGTACGTTTCTGCACCACTTTTACCCAATTTAAAAGTTGGTTTTTCGACCGACGTACACAAAGTGACTTTATATAAAATGTCAAACCACAGTGAAATATCAACCGAATTCGCTCAAATTTTGAGGTTAAGTAGATGAAGGGTAGAACATTCACCTACCATCATTCACTCATACATATCGCTGCGTTAAGAACTTTGATGGAACCAGTCTCATCGTATCTGGGACAGACTGTATATACTGTCGAACGGACTGTGAGATACTGGTTGAAATAACCGGTGCAGGTATACAGGAATTTAAATCTAACGGCTCTAGTTCCCCTCTGCGAAGTAAGGTCGGCATATATACGAGAAATGGACAATATAACATAGGAAACACAATACGAACAAGAGAGGGGCCTGCGGCAGATATAATTCTCGTAAGCATCGAGCGGCGACGTCTCAAACCGGTTTAGCGGCCGGCGCTACTTCGCTTCAACGGCTATAACTTCGTCAATTTTTGGAATTTTGCGATCAGCTAGGGCTTAAAATACGCGGAAAGGATAGTATTTTCAAAATATGCAACAAAAAGAAATTGATTTTTTGAAATTTCCAGAATATGATACCCCCTTAATATTCAACAGTATATCGACTACTGATACATCAAAATGTGACCGAGTATTACGAGTAATATTAAATTAATTGAACATTAGGTTCAGTATTGAATTAAATTGTTAATCGAAATATTAAAGTAATATTATAAATTAATGTCAAAATACAATTCGCACGAATATAGGTCATTGAAAAGATTCCTATCTCTTCTTCTTATGATTAATATAAAATACTCGTGATAAAATAATATAATACATACGAGCGGGTACGAATAAGACGGTATTAAAAGTTTCTCTTTTCTTTCTTCCGTTTTCATTCTTAAAGAGACATTTCTCGTATGAAGCGGTTATATGCCTTCAACTGGAAGATATCCAAAGCGGACGCACATCTGATTTCAATTGGCAGACTATTTTACATCCGAACGAGAGCACGTAAAACTCAGTGCGACAATTGCATCAGTGCATCCGGTGCCGCGACCTCATGTTTTCTATTAAAAATATTGTCTTCCATTTTCATGCAAAAAAACCGAAATTACTTTCCGAACAACCCAATATAAATAAACCGCTCGCGCGAGCTCGACAGGCATCCGCAGACGGGGCTGGCTACACACCTGGGCGATTCTCAGCGTGGCAAGGATTGCGCCGCGACTGGAAGCAGTCTTTCATGGAGCGAATGTGCTTCATGGGGCAACAATGGTCCGGACAGAAACTGTACAGGGCGCAAGCGTACGGTTTCGTGTCGTCCGCCCGTGGATCCTTGTTATGAGCGCCGTATTCATCCAGGCAGTTGGCGTGATTGTCGCAGGGCTCGCCGAAGACAGCTAAATCCGCGATGCCTTGCATCGTGTACCAGCACATGTAATAGCTGACGCTGGTGCGCCATTGGAAGCGTTCTGAAATTGTGCCAGATTACGATTTTCCCCGCCGTGTACACGCTTCGTGTGTGGTATCTATATTCTCCGGTCCCCCGTAGTGTAATATCTACGCGCAGAAAACTATTCAGTTGATACAATTGAATTTCAATCACGACAACCGAAACCTTCCGTTCTTCAGGAATCCACTGAAAATTTCGTCGCAATACAAATTCCGTTGGAAAGTTTTTGCTGTTTAGAAGTATATTCGATCACTTGAATCGAACGTTAAGGTTTTCAAGTTTCGCTCTTCATACGAATAAAACAGAGTGTCCCTCTACACGCAAATGAAGAGGGAGAACACTTGCGCGGTCGAGTTGAAAGTCGCATTACTGGCAGCATCATTCAACTTTGTCAAACGAGTCTTTTCCGTCGCGGTAATTGATATTTCGTTTCTCTTTACATGTACAATGTAGTTCCACGTCCCATGTGAGAGTAGCGGAATACTTTGTTGCGTTAACTATATTTCTGAGAAAGGAAATTTGAGTTTCTTCATCGAAAGTAGTTGTTGATGCGAATGGTTCTTCGGTTTGTAAAACAGAATTTTCTGCTACTGCAACCAAAATTCATACAACAGAAAATTTCTAGTTGTCACTGCAGAATATTTTTCTGCGTGCGCATATAATTCATAAGATATAAATTTGAGTAAATTTGAAGTATATATATAGGGTATTCGAGATCTTTTACGAACGAAAAATTGTAAAGATTAATCAGATCAAACTGAGAAGAAAAGTCAAGTACTATTTTGCAAAAATCGCGATGCTTATTAAGTTACTAAGGAGTTATTTGAAAAAGCGACAGATTCGAGATTCAGAGATCAAAGTCCAAAATACTCAACTAACAAGTGCAAGACACCATAACCATCGTATAATTGTAGATTAAGTCATTCTGAACAAAAAATTCCTTTACCATTTTGCAAATAAGTACGCAAATTTTCAAGTTATCAATTAATCAATTAATCAATTAAAAGAGCTTCTAGATGTGGTTATTTTCGATCATTAAATTAATAACCATTGCAATTTTTGCAAAATGATATTTGACTTTTCTTCTCAGTTCCATCTGATTAATCTTCACATTTCTTTCTTTCCAAAAGATCCCGGAACTCTGAATAACGTAACGTCGAGATGGTAAATTACCCGTCAGGTTTTCCTCGCGGCAAAAATTTTTATTATTCTTTGTTGCGCCATGAAGTCACTGAGAAAAACGGGTACATTTAGGAAGAGAAAGCTCGCGGAAAACAGTCGCGTGGCCGGGCTCAAAATCGCACCATTGGCATGGTCATTCAGTTTTGTCAAACGAATTTTTTCGGTCGCGATTACTGAGATTTCGTTCTTTTATACCAGGGTATACAGGGTGACCCGAAATTCTCGCATTCGGAGTACAGGATATGATATTTTATGCTAAAATAAGCAATTTTTTCCTTTAGCAAAATTGCGTCCGACAAGCAGTTTTTGCAGGAGAGCGTGTCAAAGTTAATGAATAAGCGCTCTTGTCTATGTAGTGCTCAGGGCCGGCGCGCGCGCCTCACTCGTGTGTAGCTAGTCAGTGACTAGTATTCATAAATAATGTCTTTTAAGATGCTTATACAGCTTTATTGTGATTAGTTTACGACATCTTAAGAGTGTACTTAAGACAATCTTAAATAATAAGAATTAACTATGAACAATACTAGGATTTGACCTTCTTCCATATTGTATTGCTTAAATAATGAAAAGTTAATAAAATAAGTACTGCCTTTTTTTCTTACATAATAAATGAATAAAAAATTGGGTAAATATGCACATTGGGGCAACCCCCTCAAAAGTTCATGACCTTGATATATGTTGTTAAGGACATGTTCCTGAGTGTTATGCAAAAAGTTGCAGCCGTCGCTCATTGTTTATTAAAAAGTTCTTAACAAAAGAAATTTCAAAAATAGAAAATTTTCCGACACCATGTATATATTTAAGGGTAAATATTTACCTATGGGGACCACCTTTCGATCTCAAAAATTTTAGTTGTATGTTATGTAGATCACCACTCTGAGTAATGCTGCAAGGTTTTAGCCGACGGTCACTGTTTATTAAAAAGTTATTAACAAAAAAAATTTAGTATATACGTAAGTTGCAAGTGCGTTTAGCACGGCGCACTACGCGCGCCCTATCCCCACTCCCCAATATTTATTCGAAAGTGATTGAAAATAAACAATGGTAAAGAAGTGAAGAGAAGCAGGTGAGATGGGGCGGGGGTGTAGTGGGGAGTGGGGATGGGGCGCGCATAGCGCGCCGTGCTAAACGCACTTGCAACTTACATATATACCAAATTTTTTTGTTAATAACTTTCTAATAAACAATGAACGACGGCTGCAACTTTTTGCATAACACTTAGGAACATGTTCTTAACAACATATATCAAAGTCAAGAACTTTCAAGGGGGGTTGACCTAATGTGCATATTTATCAAAAATTGTTTGATTGCACCATATTATCTGAAAATAAAAGCAAATGTAAATAGTAATATGCTTTGTGAGTTGTGAAATCCCAGTATTGTTCATAGTTGATTCTTATTATTTAAGATTGTCTTAAGTACAGTCTTAAGATGTCGTAAACTGATCACAACAGAGCGGTATGAGCGTCTTAAAAGAAATTACTTATGAATACTAGTCACTGATTAGGTACACGCGAGTAAAGTGCGCGCGTCGGCCCTGAGCACTACATAGACGAGCGCTTATTCGTTAACTTTAAGACGCTCTTCTGTAAAAACTACTTGTCGGACGCAATTTTGCTAAAAGAAAAAGTTGTTTTCTTTAGCATAAAGTATCATGTTCTGTATTCCGAATGCGGGAATTTCGGATTACCCTGTATATAATGTAATTTCACGCCTTCTGTGAAAACAGCCGAATATTCGGCTACGATAACTATATTTTTGAGAAAAATTTGGAACGGAAAATTTGAATTCCTTCAATCCAGAGCAATTGTTGATGCAAGTGGTTCTTCGGTTTCAGAAACAGAATTTTCTGCTACTGCAACTGAACTTCACCCTAATAGCAAATATGTCCAGAGGACGTCCAAGGGCGTCCTGGGGATGTCCTGGAGACGTCCTATTTCTTCAGGACGGCTCTGGGATGTCTCTAGACGTTTCGAGGAGATTTGTGCTATCAAGGCATGTTCAACAGAGAATTTCTAGTTGTCAATGCAGAATATTTTCTGCGTGTATATAGCATTTAATCTATTAATTTAATATATTAATTCGTGGACGGTGCAGGGGCCACAGTACTTTAGCGATGGCTCTAACGAACTCTAATGAGCGGGAACGTGAGTTTTTTTTATATCAATAGAACTTATTCGTCGTTATCGAGGCATGTTTTTGTAGTGCGCGGACGCGAGGATGAGTCAGAATGTTCCAATGTCTCTCTCTCTCTCACACACACATACACACACACACACTCTCTCTCTCTCTCTCTCTCTCTCTCTCTCTCTCTCTCTCTATCTATCTATCTATCTATCTATCTATCTATCTCTGACCTGTTTTCTTGATGCGAGTACAGCTTAATTTTTAGCTCGCGATAAATTAACATAAAAGTATCTTGAACATACGTACACGTGTCAAATTAATTAGGTGCCACAGGCTGTTGTTTCTAAAACTCTAAGTAGAATGTGAGATTTTGATTTTCCATCAATCTCGTGCTTTATCGAACGTAACGTCATAGGAGATGAAATTATTTTTTTTCCAGGTGGTGCAATCGTTATAAGATCACTTGACTGTTAACATGTTCCTCATGTTACGTACGATTGCAGCCCATCTCGTGACCAAGAAATTAACTACATATAATCGTAATTAAAAAACAAAGCAAAAATTAACAATAGTTTCTTAAACTAAATGCTGAAAACTAGAGTCACACTGGAGATTGTTCATAAAATTGGTCATATCAACAAGTCAGAAAGAGATACGTTGCTCTTCGATTCACATCAGTTTGTTTTCACATCAGCTTACATATACAGGGTCTTAAAAATACCGGAACTGCCGGATAACTTTGCAGGATCAAGTTTTCATGAAAAACTTTAAATACGAAAGTTGTAGAAAATAGAGTAACGGACTTGATGGTGACCTTGAATTTGGCCATGACTTTCAGTCATTTGGAGGTCAACTTGCGTTTTTTAAATGGGGATCCTTATTTTTTTATTATACTGTTTTTTTTCTACCAATTAATTTGAACAACTTTTGTCTAAAACATTTTTTCATTTGCCTAATATTTTTTAAGATATTTGAGGAAAACTTGGTAACTTTTTCAATATCTAACTTACGATATCTCGCTAACTATTTGTTGGAAGAAAAAGTGATACTAGACTTTCTTGTTTTATTTAGTCTCAAAAATATATTGTTATAATAGCGCCCTGATTTTTTAATTTGATGATTTTGAAATTTCTTTGAAAAGTCAGTAAGTTAACAAAAGTCAGGGTGCTATTGTAATAATAAATTCTTGAGACTAAAAAAAGCAAGAAAATTTATAGGCAAATAAAAAAATGTTTTAGACAAGAGTTGTCCAAATTAATTGGTAGAAAAAAACAGTGTAATAAAAAATAAGGGTTCCCATTTAAAAAACGCAAGTTGATCTCCAAATGACTTTGAAGGTCATGGCCAAATTCAAGGTCACCATCAAGTCCGTTATTCTATTTTCTACAACTTTTGTATTTAAAGTTTTTCACGAAAACTTGATCCTGCAAAGTTACCCGGGGGTTCCGGTATTTTTAAGACACCTTGTATATTAATTTCCTTTCTCTCAAGGACGCTTCACTCTGACGATTTCGTCGCTGTGCCTCCAACTTCGAAGCAATGTCAGCGAAATCTTAGACACGCGGTGGTCTTCTATGAAGGATAATAATTTTGCAGCCAATCTACTCGCCACAAGAGACATATTATTGACAGTGAAACAATCAAGGTGTCCTTGAAGTGACCTCAACGAATCTACCTAGAAGAAGAAAACCAACTGCGTCGCATGACGTTGCTTTCGATAGCAAACCGTGTTTTGCTTGCTTTCAGAAATAATGGCTTGTAACGCCTCCAACCGTTAGCCGCTGTACACACCGTTCGGGTTTTATGGCCCGCAACGTTAAAAGCCGGATTACACGCGCTAATAGGCGGCGTGCAATCTCGGACGAATGAATGGTCTTTTGCCGTCGTTCAACCTCATCGCGCAATCCGATTACTCAATCTATAATCATGACTACGACAGAAAGAGAGAGAGGGGGAGAGGGAGGAGCTGGGATCTCGCTCGCTACTGTGTGTAAATCGAGTTTAATGTCCCGATATCGTGATTAGGAATGCTGGCGGGCGAGTCGATGCACTTGCCGATTGGACCCTGAAAGGGGATCATGGTGAGATTGTCCCGCCTTTGAGACGACTGGCAATCCCTTTGAGCGGCCAAGATCTGCTCGGTATTGTTCGCCAGGCTCCACTTCTGCTCCCTCATGACCGTGACGGTGTCGTCCTCGCGCCTCAGGGCCGTCAGCTTAATGATCCTTTCGAGATACTTGAGGCACTCGACGAAGCTCGCGTCGCAGTACTTGCGCACTTCCCAGTGCAGGGACCTCAGCCCGGGCCTGGGGAACTCTTCGTAGAGCCTGCTCGTGGCCTCCCCCGCGCTCTTGTAGTACCGGCGATCGTAGTCGTGGAACTTGTGAGCGCGGATAAAATATGCGACGTCGCGGATCACCCGGTTCTTGTCCCAGCCGGGGTCTGGCGCGTCCGTCGGCTCGTCCACGACGGGCAGGTCGCTCACCAGTATATTGTGCTCCATGACCTGCTCGGTCAAGGGCACCGCTGGCATCCTTATCTCGTCGGCCGTCGTCTCGGTCGTGCTGTCGCTGACGGCGGACTCGACGACGACGTCTTCGGCTGCCGCTGGCAAAAACACGCCGCTGCTCCTCGCTAGCTGTGTGTGAAACGTGTAGCTGAGAAATGTGCAGATAAGACGTAGCGCGTATTCGCCGAGCTCCATCTTGAACACGCGCTCTACTCCCGCGGGGAGCTTTTGTTTCGCTGCCGAAAGCAGCGATCTGCAGGAAGCTTCAGTCTACTCGGCATTCGAGTTTACGTTCCGTTAACGTGCTATATAGCCGTCTACTTCTCGGTTGCTCTCTCATCGAGACCTCTTGCGCATCGCGGATTTCAGGCGGGAAAAAAGGAAGAAAGAGCAAACGAAAGAAAGAAAGAAAGAAAGAAAGAAAGGCCGGGAGAAAGGAAAGAACGCGCCGCGGGTTTGCTGGAGAACGAACATACTGTTCCATTAATAAGTGTATCGCGAAGGAGCGCCGCGATGTCGCCGTCTCTTCCTCGCGCGCCCCGAGAATAGGAGCCCTCGGCCTGAGAAGCACAATGTATCCCATTACTCGACGTGCTTGCGCGTTCAAATTACTCGAATCGCCAAGAAGACACCAGAACGCGTATCCGTCCCCCCTGAACTCGCGACGCTGAAAAGGTCGGAATGAGAGGAGGAGCTGGAGCGCGCGCCGCGCCGGCGGGAAGAAGAAGAACGGAGTACACGGGAAAAAAGTTATATTAAGCCATATCCAGTGCGCGGCGCGGCGTTATTCATCTCCCGCGCCGTCGACTTGCGGTTTACGCGCGGGCGTCTCGCCAGTGTTGGTAAGTACCCTGTTATATCTCATTCAGCCGCGGCTTTATTCGGCCGGGTGACTCCGCGCTGAAGGCGCACCTCCACCGGTGTCTTAGCGGGCTTACAGAAACTTCGCAGAGGCTCGTGTAGCAACGCGTAATAAGAGGCAGCTTCGCGAAACGAGGTGAATCAACTCGGCTGGGCCCCGCGAGAGAGCCAGATAGAGAGAGAGAGAGAGAGAGAGAGAGAAGGAGGGAGAGAGACTGCTTTAACCCTTTCACGAGCACCGTACTGACTCGGCTCGGCTCGAAACACGTGCGGACGGCATGAGTGCGAGAGACGCTAATGGAAATTGTACGAAGTTTTCCAGCGGGGATTCCTGTATAATTTCGCTCATTGCAATCGACGACACGACACGACAGGTTCCGTTTTGCTCGCCCCATCGATGTTCGCTCTAAGACTCATGCACTTCTCTCCTCCTTTTTTCCCTTTCCCATTAACTCTTGTCGAACTGTTGTCAGCTTAACCTGTTTTGAAATTCATGTGAATGGACCTTTTGTTCTGCAACTCGATTAATTTCGTTTTTTGCCTTCCGACTTTATCGGACTATAAAATCCCATTGTTACTTTGCTTTACAGGTAAAAGTTCAATTAGCATATCGATTTATTATACTTGCACTAATCGAATTCAACCTAATATCAGATTTGAGTCTCGCATATCGATTTACTTGCAATGATCAAAATCACCTTTGAGTCTTGAAATGGACGTCCGATGAGGGTTAAACGACGCCGTTTTCTTCGTCTTAAGCAAACTTCTTAATTCGCCGGCGAATTTGTCGGTAAAATCTCTTCTAGACGCTTGATCTTGATTTGCTAGCGTGTGAAACCCTTAATCCTTATCAAGTGTTAGGGTCAGTTTAACCCTTTTTGAAATTCATATGGATGGAACTTTTTGTCTGCAAATTCATTTTAAATTCAAATTAATTTTATCTTTTGCCTCCTATCAGACTATAAAATGCAATCGTTACTTTGCTTAAATTTTACAGGTGAAATTTTAATTAGCATATCGATTTACTTGCAGTAATCGAATTCACCCTATCGTCGGATTTGAATCTCGAAATGGACGTCCGATGAGGGTTAAACGGCGCCGCTTCCTTCGTTTAAGCTTAAGCAAGCTTCTTAATTCGCCAGCGAATTCGTTGGTAAAGACTCTTCTAGACGCTCGATCTTTATCCGCTAGCGTGTAAAACACCCTTAATCCTCATCAAACATCAAACATTAGGATCAGTTTAACCCTTCTTGAAATTCATGTGAATGGAACGTTTTTCTGCGACCCGATTAATTTCATTTTTTGCTTCCTGGCTCTATCAGGCTATGAAATATTATCATCGTTACTTTGCTTGAATTTTACAGGTGAAACTTCAGTTAGCATATCGATTTACTTGCTGTAATCAAATTCACCCTGATATCGGACTTGAGTCTCGAAATAAACGCCCGATGAAGATTAATACCGTTAATAAAGGTGGCATTGAGCTGCGAAAGCTGGAACACCGGCTATATCCATTCGCGAAGCAAATTTCGTCGGCTCGTAAAAGTAAAGTATCGACGCTATCCAGACTCTATCTCCGCCAATGAAGCACGTCGCTCGTGCGAATACAAGCGCGAGCCCGCGAGCGCGAATCGCCGCGAGCGGATATCTCTTTCGTTTTCAGTGCGGCCTGAGAGCCCGGGAGAGCTTTCGCCACCGCGGAAGAAAGAGAGCAGCCGTCCAGGATGCGCGCCCCTAACTTCTCTCGCTCATCGCGTATTCTAGTCAGCACTTTCGAAAGACAGAGTAACGTCCAATCCGACGGCGAAACTGGGTCAACATTTGCTCCGGTGATCTGAGAAAACGGCGAAATACGCTCGGCGGCGGCGGCGGCGGCGGCGGCGGCGGCAGGCAAGAAGCATCCGCCCCTGCAGAATTCATCCGACGCAAGAGCGATTCGAAAGTTTCGCCTCCTATTCACCGATCCGCGCCGAGTGGTCCCATCGCGCCAGGCGAGAGGCCGTCGTTTATCTTGGATAATGGCGGGCAAAAAGGGCTCAGAGCCGCTTTCGCGCGATGGTGCTTATTAATTCCTTGGCGGGGCCGAACTGCGGAACTATTATAGTTGGCGAATCACGATTGCACTCGCGTCCCTTCCCCCCGCTCGTGATCCGTGAATTGTCCCGATTGTCATCGCAGGGTGAGAACTGGGGCGGATCTCGATCGGAAGTGTTCTTTTGCCCGCGACGGGGAGGCTGATGTGCGTCACTTTGACACCACGTGGCTAGTCCGGCGAGTCAATTTGTAGAAGATCACAGTCTGGTCGATGAGGCGTGCCTGGCGGAACTCGATAAACAATTTATTCTAATGACTTGGAACAAGATATACATATATTACCTCACTAGAACTGTGACGCTTTATTATTAATGTTTCGCCCGGTCGCCTTCATCATCAACAATTGCTTAGGATCTCCGAGGCATTATTTTCAACTATTAGGAGTGTGATTTAATTTTGAGAGTTCTGCATGAGATGGTATTAATGTCAGTTTTGTCGAAAACATCACATGCCAACCACAGCTACTGTTTCTTAATGCTTTAATATTAATCCATGATGTTTAGTCATTTATTAACAATAGACGCAATAAAAATCGTGTTAATATCATCTCGAAAATGGAGCTTCTTGAAGAACATTTTCAACATGCGTTGCTTTTGTCTTTTAATCAGAAGGAAACGGCGGCTAAAGGTCATAGAATTCTGATAGAAACTTATAGTGATGTTGATCCATCAATTAAGATATATGAATACTGATTTAGATTTTTAGATTCAAAAGTGGTGATTTTAATGTTAACGACAAAGATCACTCGGGATGACCAAAAAAGCTTGAAAATGCAGATTTGCATGCATTAACGCAAAAATCCAGCACAATCCATTTCAGAACTTGCTAGAATATTAAATGTTGATCGTACAACAGTTACTAAACGTTTACATGGTATAGGAAAGATTCACAAAGAAGAAATTCCACATTAATTATTATCGCAAAATATCGGAAAATGCCATTGCGAACCAATTGAACATTTGCATTTTGTTGGTCGTCAGACAAAAAATGAAGAGTTCTTTGTATGGAATTGTTACTGAGGACGAAAAATGGATCTATTTTGATAATCCCAAACGAACAAAATCATAGGTTGATCCAGGCCAATCAGCAATATCCATTTCGAGGCGTAATATTCACGATTCAAAATTGCTGTGTATTTGGTAGGATCAAGAAGGTGTTGGGTACTATGAACTGTTAAATCCGAATGAAAATGTCACCGCTGATCGTTATCGACAACAATTATACAAATTGAAGCGAGCATTGGACCAAAAACGATCACCAATTGCGAGCAAACGACGCAAAGTGATCCTTCTTCACAACAATGCCCGACTTCATGTTACATTATCAGTGAAGCAAACGTTATTAGAGCTGGAATGGGAAGTCTTACCGCATCCCGCGTATTCTTCAGACAATGGCTGCGTTCAGCAGAAAAAAGCTACTTACTAAGCGCTTAGTGATTATTAGCTATGATTGGAGTATTCTTTTAGATCTTTAACAAATCCAGGGGAATGAACCAATCAGAAACAATAATCACTAAGCGCTTAGTAAGCAGCTTTTTTGCTGAACGCGGCCATTGCTCCATCCGATTATCATTTGTTTCAGTCGATGCTCTAGAGGATATACACTTTCATAACTTCGACAAAGGCGAAAATTTGTTAAGAATTAGATCAACTTTAAAGAAGAATTTTTTATCGTCACGGAATCTATCTCTTGCCAGAAAGACGGGAAAAAGTTGTAGAAAATGAAAGAAAATATTTTAATCAAGGTATTCGTTCATTATCTTGTTTAAGTAAATCAGTTTGAGAAAAAAAACTATCAAAACTAAATCACACTCCTAATAATTTTATGGTATAGATTAAGTTCGGGGTAGATGAGCAGTTTTTTCATTGGAAATAACATATCTGTATTATTGCAATAAATAATGCATTGACACACTCGGTAGAGAATAATGTTTAAGGTACAAAAGAATTTTTATGTAAAAGAAATTCACGGGACGCCAATAATAATGAAATATTAAAAATATTCTGTGAGGGGGATAGATGGTCAAGTGTCAGGGTTAGATGGTCATATGTAAAGGGATAGTTGAGCATACCTATAATAATGTAGAAATTTGTTTATCTTTATTTATTTTTTTAGTATTTTCCATCCTTTTATTAATTAACCTTTTTATTAATCCTTTTATTAATTATTAATAAAATAAAACATTTCCATAAGTTTCTAATAGAAACTAAGGACAACATTGGAGAGAAGGTTGAAAAGTG